TTTCTTTTTTTTTTTTTTTTTCTTTTTTTTTTTTTTTTTTTTTTTTTTTGTAGTTTCGTTCAATCCCTCCTTTATTATGTGTGGTCACAGCCTTTGGTAACAAGATTGATTTTATTCTTATTTGTCCATAAGTGTTGTAATCCTGCCTGACAGTTCTTGCTTAATATAGAAAGCAAGCAAAGGTTCTGCTTATGCTGGGCTTCATTTCCAGTCTTCTGACACACATCACATCTCAGGCTATTGCTGTGGTTCTCAGAAAGCCCTTTACCCATACACACGCATGGTCTCTCTCTCATCCCAGGCCCTGGAAGCTCTGGCAAAGAATGAGAACTGAACCAGTGCCATGACTTTCTGAATTCCTTAGAATCAAAGATAATTCACAGAGCCCTTTGTCCACTTTTTATACAGAACCTGCATGGGGTACACCCACATGAACCTCCAGGAGGATAGACATGATCAAGTAAAGATGCAGGAAGAACCCATATGGAGAAACAGCCTTCCTTGGAGAAAGCCTCTTCTTCTGTTTTACCAACTGGTAAAGAACCATTTCCTTCCCGGAACGGTCTGGATACATATTAGAAGAAATGGATTCCCATGAGCACTGGAAAACCTTAATTAAGTCTGTTTCTCACTTATGCCAACCTATTTCAGACTTTACTGGAAGGCTTTTTCTATAGTAGGAAGGCCTCATCCTACTTTTCTGAATACAATCTTTTCTTGAAATGCATTCTAATTGACTGTTGTTGAAAACCACCATAAATCAAGGTTGTAGATACTCAGGCTGGGTTAGACTTAGTGTCTGCAGCAGTCTGGCCTGAAGTGCTCAAGACAATTCTCTAGTCATCTTGGTGATGTGGTTTGCTGTCACTTCTGATGACCCATAGACTTCTGGGTTGTTCTTCATAACATCTGACCCGTTACAAGTGCTGATGTTCCTGCTCAATACATTTATCAGCAAATTTTACAATAAGAAAATTAGCATAGAATGCCCCATCTTACCTATCAATTTTGCTGCTAAAATATTGTATATATGATACATACTATTATAAATCAAGTCACATTTATATGACTCAGAGGTGTTGGCCATTAAAAGAAATATTTTTCTAATCCTGTTGTAAAGCAAAGAATCATTTTGTAAAGGCAGTAAACACTTGATAATTTATCTTTTCAGTGAATTCTCCTTTACCAACATACCTGAAATCACTATTAAAATGCATGCAAGAGCAGAGGATAGGATGGAGTGGAAAAATGGGAAAATTATCCTGTGCACATAGATTTTCCTCAATCATCTGATTTTTTTTTTATGTTGAAAATGGTTTTGGTGCCTGAAATACTGAGAATTACTTCAATTTTCCATTTTGAATATGTACAGGAGACAGAATTAAAGTTCCTGCATTGTTTTCAAGATTTCTTTCTTCTATTCTTTTTTTTCTTTTTCTTTTCTTCTTTCTGTTTCAATCCTTGAGCACCATGCAGAGAAGACCTGGAATTCAAGCTTATGAAAAGGCAAAATGTGATACAAATTGAGATGCTCATTAAATGCCATGTCATTAGCATTCTCAACACTCCCAGGAGGACTTAGTCCATCGTTCTCCTCAACTTGGGAACATGTGGCTTCCACACTGTTTTTCTTTCCTTCTTTAAAATTTGTTATTACCTTACTCTGCTTTTCCTATTCAAAGCACAAAATGCCAACTTCTTAGATTTAACTCTTTTTGTTCAAAGCCCAAATGAACACACTAACATATATAAGCAGTTATAAATTGTGTTTCAAACTTCTTTCAATTTCAATGCAATAACTGATTTTTAATACTAAAAAATACAGTTTGAATACTTTTCATAGCTATGGAGATAAAAATATCGGCTCATCACTGAAATTTAATTTTATGAGCATTTTCCTTTTATATAAAGTCCCCGAATTCTAAATAGTCCTCCGGGTCAATTCAAGATTTACTGTGTTCCCAATATGTGAAAATATGATGCCAAAGCAATATATATGATAAAGAGATAAATAAGGTACAACTTCCTGCCTTCAGGAGCTTAAGCACCAGTGGAGGAGATATATTAGCCACACATTACAGTATATCCCAGCATTAAATTGTTGCCATAGCACAAAAAAAGAAACAATATGCCAATTAAAAAAAAATTAGGATGTCTTTGCAGAAGAGGGAAATTTGTGTTGAGCCATGAGAGCTGAGAATAACCCTGGTTCAACAGTGAGAAGAAAGGTATTCAGACAGAGATTTCCTTTGATTTCCCCATTGAATATATCAGTTAATATTCAATTTGTAAATGTACCAATTTAAACACAGTTTCTAACTATTAGCTTTTAAAGTGAATTGCATTTCCTTCCTTTGCATGTTCAAAAAGAAGCAGCAGCAGCTTTTTAGGAAGATTTGGCCTTCTCTTTCTCCCCTTCTCAAACTTGCTTTTATACACGAATACAGTTATCTAAGTCAGTCAAGATTTCCTAACAAACTGGGTGGCTGGTAAATATGTTTAAATGATTGGGAATTTCTTGTACCTTTTATCTTAGATTGCAATTAAAACACACGAGTTTAACTTGAGAACTGATAAGTGAAAACCTGATCTTATTATGAAAAATCATATTTTAAAGCAGCACTTCGGTTCTTAGTTCTCTGCTCTGAGCCACTTATTTTTCATTCCCCTTTAAAGTTTCTATTTAAACACACCTCTTTGTCATATGCTGATAAATATTAAAATAACAGGAAAAATCTGCCTGACTTATTTAAGCTGATAATAAGAACAAAACACGGGATGTGTGTCTCCTCCTTCCTTTTCTGACTGTGGCTAAACGTTAAGATGATTTTGAAACCTATAATTACGCAATTGGTATCACTGCATTCTCTTCTCAATGAGAAGCCATAATTTTTGTAGTTTGTCACAAAGAGAGACGAAAACAAATTGCCTAAGTGATATTGTCATTTCTTTGCTCCATTGTTTTAAAAAGCATTTAGCAAAAGAACCTCTAGTGGCCAGCTGTAGTTACTGTGCCAACAGTCACAAAATGATCTAACAGCATCCTTGCCTAATTAGCCAACTTACAGAATCACAAATATCCCATATTCTCTTAATGTTTGTCAGTATTTATTATAAGAAAAGGAAAACATAGTCTAAGAATTCAAATTGATGTCAAAAGCAGCTTAGTAAATTTGGCTAACAGAAATGCAAGCAACAGTATCTCACTGATAAGCCAATGTGATAGAAGTTTCAAAACCACCTCCTTTGATCTCCAAGTATGTAACACCAGTTATATGTTAAAGCATTCTATTTTGTTTTTTCTTATAAAAAAAATCTTCTAATGGAAGTAGTGTATCCAGCAGAACATGTTTTTGAAGTCCAAAGATAGAGTACTAATTATTTCTTTCTATTTTATATCACAGGGCTCTAGAGTAAACTCACCTTTACTTAATATCTTTCTTTCACTCTTATTCTTGTTCTGATAAATACTTCAGAAATCTTTCTCATAAATACTTCAGAAACCAATGAGCCAATAAGATTCTGCTTCCTTTGTTCCCTTGTTTTAGAAACTAGGCTTTTGTAATACTTCTGTTATGTTTATGGTCATGAAGCTGGCGAGAGAACACTACACCAAGTAAGGAAGATCATAAGTATAAAGCGAAGGGAACAGCACTGCTGGAAATAGAAATGTGCACGAGGCAATGTTAGGTGTTAGGTGATCTCAGTACGAGTCCATCTTAATTGTTTCTCCTGTGGTTTTACTTAAACCCACTACTATAACAGTGGGGACAGACTGAAGGGAAAAAATATCATGGTGTTCCTTCAAGGTGGCCCTTCCTCTCTGCAGGTCTAAACACTACATGAAAAGCAGATGCACAGTACAGATGCACAGTTTTTGTTTTTTAAAAAAGCACCTTTGAGGATGACCTCCAAGAGAAATCATTTTTGACCTGGAAGAGCCTTTGGTTTCACACCTGGAAAGGATGTAAATTCAAGTAGAATCTATAGTTGATGCAAAGAGGAAAACCACTATCATACTTTTGGGGGCCCTCAAGTCAATGTGGGGCATCTTGGGGTCTTTGAGCTCAGCTCTCCTGAAGTTCATGTGGGCCAGCAAGCTGAGGTCAAGTTGCACTATCAATACTGCTCTGCCTCCTGCTCCTCTTCTGGGAAGCAGCATTACCACATGTCCCCCACATTCTAAAAGTCTGGGCATACAATGGGCAAATTATTTAATACTGTTTTTAATTTGGTGTCACATGGAATGAAGTAAAGCTCCATTATGACTTTGAAAATAGTCACCAAGAGACATACTCTGGAGGGCCACAATGTGAAAACAAAAGCCATTATTTTAAAAAAGATTCTAATAAGAGGCATATTTAATATTTTAAAACAAGGAGATGGACCTTATGACATGGCCTACCTTGCAGGTTGACTCTGGAGACAGGAGGCTGACTAGCAGCTGGGGACCTCCTGTGGAGACAGAGAAAAAAAGGACTGAGTCTGTGTATTAACACCTGCTCCTCCCCCATCCCCAACCCCCATGATCACTGAGGAGTTTTCCAGGTCATAATGAGCTATCAGTGACATAATGCTATCTCCGGAAGGCAGACTCCTGTAACAAGGGCAGATGACTGCAATTCTCTCACATCCAGATGGCCTGGAATTTCCCTCTGCACAGCCTCAGGATGCTCCAACTCTCCAGGAAGGAAGTTGTTTACTCCAGGTTCCAAACCTGCCCTTCTGTTTTAGGTTTTGCTATTGCAGGAGACCCTCTGAAAAGGAGACATTTGCTCAGGCATCACTCCAGATGTCAGAGTGAATCCCAATTCCTTTGGGCAGTACCGTAGAAAGTTATAGCTTGTAGACTCCTTAGATATCAACCATTTCAGGCCCCACAATTTTTGTACCTCAGGGAACTGAGACCCAGAGAGGTGAAGTAACTTGCCAATGGTCACACAGCCACTAGGAATGGTAATCCAGCTTGCTTAACTTAGGCAGCAGACATTTTATGGAGGAACTGGGACATCATTCTACATGATAACAAGCCTGCTGATGTTAAAAGTAAAACAAAACGAGCAAACAAATCCATGTTCCACTAGTACTCGGGCTTCTTTTTGTTTCTTTTTATTTCTCTGCCCCTTGCCCCCAATTTTTCTGTTCTCGCCATCCTTCTCATGGTTTGCAGAACTTCTTCTGCCATAGTCTTCTGAATTTCCATGCGTTGCTGGAGAACCTACCCAGGAATAGTACAGTGCAGTGCCTTCAAACTTTAGGGTACATCACAATCACCTGGAGGCCTTACTAAAGCACATTGCTGGACCCTACCTCAGAGTTTCTGATTCAATATGCCTGAAGAGGGCTTGAGAGAGGGCATCTCTAACAAGTTCCTAGGTGATGCTGATGTTGTTGGTCTTGGGACCACATTTTCAGAACCACTTGTATTAAGGACTCTCTGCCCCATCAAGGAGCAACAGGATATTAGCAATAAACAAAAGAGTGGGACTCTGGGCCAGTGGTTCTCAAGCATGGATGAGCACCAGACTCATTTGTAGAGCCATTAAGTTCCTTTCCCCATTTCTGAAGAGTCTATTTCAGTATATCTGGAACAAGGCCTGGAAATCTGCATTTTTCACTTCTGTGACTTCCCATGCACAGGCAAGTTTGAGAAAGAAGCCAAATTCTAAACGACAGAGATGGCCTACAAAGCTGTTGTTAAGGAAGGGTGTTCCTCCTGGTGTGGTCACAAAATTATTTTCCTAGGTTTTTAAGTGCTCCAAATCAATCTCTGATCCCCTAAGGGGTAATCTAGCTTCTAAGTAACTATGCCATATAGCTGCAGAACCTATGGACAGGGTCCTCTAATTTACTAGCTGGGAGATCCTAGGCATAGTACTTTTAAACCCTCTATGGCATGAAATTTTCACATGTGACGAGAGAAGGGAAGTTATCACCTATGATCATTTTTCTTTTCTAGACACTGGGCTAGGCACTTCTTAGCTTCCATTGGGAGTATTATCTCATTTAAGGATAAAGAAAGTGAAGCTCAGAGAGGTCAACAAACATACTGAAGCACACATTTTTTTATAACTGGCATGACCGGGATTAAAAGCTAAGTCTTTCTGAATCCAAAGTGCATGCTCTTTCCAGTATACCATCTGCTGATAACACCTGTGTTAATACTGTTTTTGAGGAAAATTAAGAGATTAAATTTCAAACTCCTTACAATGGCATTCAAAGTTCTTTTCTCTCTAGCTTCAAAATACTTTCTCCAGCTTATCTCTTAGAATTCCTTCCTATAGCTACTTAAAATTGTAATTAAAATAGGTTCTTTCTAGTCAGTGTTCAATACTACCATATAACTCCTTAGATTTAATGTAAACTTTATGTGGGCAGGAAACAAATTGTTCGTTACCAGATCCCTGGTACCCAGGATGTCTTTCATATGCCAAGCACTCAGTATATACTTATTGAATGGAAGAACGAATGAATGAACAAACAAATGAATGAATGAGGCAAAAAACTGACTGATACTTTGCCAAGGCCAAATTTGGTTACTTCTTTTTCCTTGAACATGTGCTGCCCTTTCCTGCCATTACTCAGACCATTCCTCTTTCAGGGAAGCTCTTCCCACACTAAATATCACCTACCTTCAAAGGTCGAGTGCCATCTTCTCCAAAGGATACCATCTTCTTAGCCAAAAATCGTCCCTCCTCTAATCTCCCATGGAACTTTATTTGTTCCTTTGGAGTCATTTCCTCATGTTACAGTTCCTATAGGCACATATTATGTTCACTAGCAATCTGTGACCCACTGATGGCAGGATTCAGTTCTGATCCCTTTCATTATTATTATTTTTTTTCCTTTTTTGTCTTTTTTCGTGTCCGGCAACGGATCGCAACCCTCAGTGTTGCGCCCGTACCGGACCGGGACCGGCAACGGGATCGCAACCCTCAGTGCTGCGCCCACACCTCGCTCAGCCAGTGAGCGGGAACCGGTCTGTATGTGGGATCCGAACCCTCAGCGGGAGTGCCGCCGCGCTTCCCAAGCGGCGCACTGTAGCAGTGCGCCACTGGGTCGGCCCCTGATCCCTTTCATTATAACCTCTGCAGGACCCACCAACTTGCCTGGCAAATAGTAGAACTCCAAAAATGTAGATGGACTTTCAATTGAATGAACCCTTGACGTGAAAGTGACTGGAGGAGCCAAATACTCTATATGAATGTTTTATCTGGTTTCTTTTTCATATATAGTCTTGGTTTCTTCCACATACTATTCTCTGTTCCCTGAACACAGCATGCTCTCTTGTGACTGTGCCTTGCCTACATTTTGCTCAGTTGAATGCCTCACTCCTCCTCTTTAAGTGGCTAACTCTTTCACATGTCCTAGGATTCCGCGGAGGCATCACTTCCTCAGAGGAGCCTTCCCTCCTGTGAGTGGCCCTCACCTGTGGTCTGTAATTTCCTATCCTGACCCCATCATTGGACTGTTCACACTGTACTGCAATTCTTATTTTCCTATCTGTCTCCTCACCTGTGAGAAATTTAAGCAAAGACTGAGTCTTACCGATTGTTGCAACCCTGGAATCTGGCATATTTGGTATGATATAGGTGTTCGATAGATATCCATTGGATTACTAATACATTCGTAATAAGTTTATTTTGCATCTTTTCTTGCATTCTGAAGAAGGCTTTTGTGAAAGGAAACACTGACCTAGGAGACCTTAAATGTTGGAGAGCTCTACTTTCTTATAGTATGGCTACTCACAGCATCCAATTCTCTCACTGACTTCTTGGAAATTACACATATTACACAAATTCCTTTGTCCCAGAAGTTCATTTTGAAAATATGGCTTTTATTTAGTGTTGTTAATTCAGATAAATATCCCTAAGTGTAAGCCTTGGGAAGGCAGGAACCATCTTTATTTGGTTTATCACTTATTCTTAAAACTTGGTGTGAAAAAGAGGCTCAATACACTTTTTTTTTTTTTTTTTTTTTTTTTTTGTCTTTTTCGTGACTGGTAAGGGGATCACAACCCTTAGCTTGGTGCCGCCCGCACCGTGCTCAGCCAGTGAGCGCACCGGCCATTCCTATATAGGATCCGAACCCGCAGTGGGAGCAATGCTGCACTCCCAGCGCTGCACTCTCCCGAGTGCACCACGGGGCCAGCCCTCAATGCACTTTAAATGAATCAATGACTTCTGGAAGCTGCATTACTGCTTGTAAGGCATGAAAGTGCCAGTTAGAAAACTGTAATGAGTGCCAGAGAAAAATGGTATTGGTTGCCTGGTTTCTAGTGGTCCCTAACTTATGAAAGAATGATAAGAAATTGTATAACTGGCTGCTGAAGATGGTGATATGCATAGAAAGGATAATATGGCCACAGCAGTTAATACTCTCCATCCCTAAATAGCACAGTGGAGAGAGACCTGGACCATAAATGAGAAGACAGGAACCCTAATCCTGGCTCTGGCATTTTCCAACTGTATAGCTCTGGGCAATTCACAGAACCTCTTAGTTTCTTCCTCACTTGGGGAGAGAAGGCAGTAACTAACATTTACTGCTGATTTACAATGTTCCATGTCCTGTGTGAGTGGTTTTACATGTATTTCTTCACTTACTCTGAGGAAATTTGGCTAAGTTATTTCCAGCTCTGAATGATCAAGATTTTATGATTCTCAACTAATTTAAATCCCATGCCAAAGTACATAAAGCAATGAAAAAGGCTTCACATATCACTAAAACAAATTTTTAAGTGGTTACTAATTCTTTCCCAAAGATTACATGTTGATTAGATTATGCTTTGGAAGAATGTTGTACAAAGATGTTCCATGATTTCCTGATAGCCACAGTTAAGTTATTTGTGATGGTGGTGACAGAGCTGATGATAAAGGAAAACATCTCCTAGCTCCCAGCTCTATTCTCTGGTGATCATATTGCTGAACAGTGGGCCCTCTCACTTACACACGTGATAATTCCGTCAGTCTGTTTGAAGCTAGCAAATGCTTTAGGGATGCTTATCTGAATTGACCACTGTAAATGAAAGCCATATTTTCAAAATTAACTCCTGGGACAAAGGAAATGTAGGTTTTAATTTGCAGCCAAGAAATGCAGGCCCAATCAGGCATCCTTCAATGGAACACTTCATAGAGGGACAAGGAAACCACCTCAACAGAAACTTTGAGATTTTCACCCTTTGGGTGGTAAAGCTCAGGCATACAATGGACTGCTTTAATGCAGAGCAAAGAGTCAAAAGATAAAACAAATCTTGATTTATGAGAAATATAGTTCTATGTGGGAGTTCCTTTTCATATAAAGAACCACATTATCCAGATGTCTCATGAAAACCACTCCAATGACATAATTATTGCTTAAATGTTATATTTGAGGTGGGCAGTGGCACCTTGGAACCCCAAGTCAAATACCCCAGAAAGCAACTTCTGAGTTCCATGAATCTTAGCTTCAGTTAAGATAAGTAAATATGTGGGGAGGAGGGGAATGCTCTCAGAATGTTGTATCCATTCTGGGTAGACATTCTTGTCTATAGTTCCTTCCCTTGGATCTTTTATAGTTGTTTGGGTGTATTGACTATCTAGGAATAGAGTGGAGAACATTAAATGGACCCTCAGTTTTCTAACCTGCCACTGCTAGACTGCTCCATTTGTGGCTGACACCCACCATCCAGGTCTCAGCCTGGGCTAGACTGAAGAAATCTCAACTCCCTTTAGTGAAGCTCTAGTGGTGGATGTGCCCTGCCTTAAATTTTGTTGGCTGGTGTTGGTTATAAGGAAGTACCTGAAATCAATAATAGAATCAACTCTGTACAAATATGGGCATGGATTTTAGAAAGATCATCAGATGAAACTGTCTTACTGCTGGAGACCTATTCTGTTTGATAAATACGGTTTGCTTTGGATCAAAGGTGACACAAAGGGCCATGATTTGAGGGGTGGTCCTCAGCTAGAGTGTGAAAATGGGCTCTGGGTCAGTCTGTGTATGGCAATTATGGTCTTATGGTATTTGGTTCCTGAAAGTTCATGTGGCCCCAAACCTCCAAGGCTATGGAAAGGCCTGTTTCTCGAGAAAGTAGCTTCAAATGACATAAGTTATTAATCAGCAGAGTTAAGATGAATGCTCAATACTACTAAAAGAGGAAGAACCCCCAAGCCCATGCTAACAAGTAAGACTAAAAACACCACCTTGGTCCCACCTTCTCCTTGGAGCTATGCAATATAACAGTGCTGAGTCCAGCTATGCTAAAGAAGACTTTGAAATGTATCCTTATTAATCCCTTCCTTCCCATTCCCACCTTCACCATTCTGGTCCAGGGTTTCACCCTCACATTTTAATTCCTGAAAACACTGTCTAAGTTAATGTCTCTGCTTCAGGCTCTCTGTCCTTCATCTATTCCATACATTCTTCCTAAATGTCTTTTGGTTCCAAAGCCCTCCAGGGACTTCTTCCCATAACCCGAGGACTTAACAGATGCAGTAAATAGAAAAAGCATGGCAATGAGTGTCACATGCCAGGTTTCATGTTCAACTCTGATGTTTACCAGAAGTGGCATGTTCTTGCCCTAATCATTTAATCTCCCTAAGCTGTTTCCTTATCCATAGGGTAAGGGTAACAATACCTTAGAATATCATTTATGGTGATTATAAATGAGATAATGGGTGTGAAAACCTCAAAGTGTCACACTGCTTCTGGATTCAGCAAGAGAAATATAACTATAAATTATAATAACTCACATTTACTGTGCTAGATACTGTTTTAAGTGCTTTACAAATATCAACTCATTTAATCCTCACAAAAGCCCTATTTTACAGATTAGGACACTGAGATATGGAGAGGGTGATTAACTTGCCCAAGGACATAATTTTCAAATGGGAGAATTAGGTTATGAAGCCAGTAAGTATGGCTTCATAAAGGAAATAAAAAGGTGGGGATAGGGAAGGGATTACTGCTAAAATAAATAACCTTCTAAATAATTGGTGGTCTTTCCTCCAACAATTATTTATTCATAAATTCGTCTATTACGGTGAATATTTATGGAGCACAAGCTGTGTGGTGGGCAATTCTCACTCTTAAGGGGCACACAGTCTAGTGGTGGCAAAGATCCATAAAGAGAATGTGATAAGGTTTGCAGTGTACTCTGGAGCCAAGTGAGGGCTGCTCAGTCAGGCTTGGTGGGGTCAGGGAAAGCCTCTTAGTGAAGGTGATGTTAGAGATGTGTTGTAAAATACAGTCAGGATTTGGCCAAACAGACACTGGCAGGTGGAAAGAGGCATCTTAAGGAAGAGAAAAGGGTAAGTCCCTAATTAGGATGGAGAAGAGAGCATGCAAGGAGCGACTAGACCACAATTGCTGAGCATAATCCCATGTGGCTAGAGACCTGGTCTGATTGTTCACCACTGCATCCCCAGCACTTCCTATTAGAACAGAAGCCCTGAAAGGGCAGACAACTTGTCTGTTTTGTTCACTGTTATATCATCAGTGCCTGGTGCAAAGTGGGTGCTCAGTAAGTACTTGTTAAATGCATACATGCATGCATGAAAGAATAACATGCACTAAATAAATACTTGTTGAATTAATTAATGAATAAACAGGCAGTACCACTCCAAAAGAAGCTGGGACAAGCCTCTAGATTTCTTGTACATTTCACTAATATAAAACCCAGTCAACTATCAAGCACAAGAACTTGGGTAGTGAGGTGCCCTGGGTGCCAAGCACCAGTTCTAAAACTTTATCTTTACGGTAAGAGTGGACCACTGCAATGCCTCAAGCCAGAGATCAGCCTGTCAAACCAAGGTGAGAATGTTCACTCTGGTGAAAGTCTAAAGAACAGTTCAGAGGAGAGATCACTGTTGGGAAAGACTCCATGGGGTAGGCAAACCCCTTTCACAAGGTGGCTTAGTAACAAGTTACAGGACAGTGAGAGGAAATGTAAATATTCAAAGCAGGGCTTGCTCTCACTTTCAACAAGATCACTTTATCAAAATTTGGACATAAATAAAATAGAGCGTTGATGAATAATGTCACAAGACTGGTGAGATAGGGTACTCTTCAACACTGGCTGAAAAATCAGGAGATTTAAGTTTTGTCCCTGATGAGTCTTTAACTTATGGCATGATTATTGGCAAGTTGTTGGGTTCCTAAGGGCAATGGTTTCTCCTTCTGTAAAACAGAGGTTGAATCAGTGGCCTCAAAGGCCTCCTCCAGCCCTGTCATTCCAGGATCACGGATTCTATGACCCTCTGAGCTCTGCAATGATCTTTTAAAACATGCAGAAGAGTGAACTGCACAGGACTTAGATTAGGCTCATAGATTGAAATAATTTTGGAGGAAAAAGTTACTACAGAGAATATCAAGTTCAAACTCTTCATTTTATAGGTGAAGACAGCAAGGATCAGCAATGTTAATGGAAATGACCAGGTCATGTGTTAGTCAGTGGCAGAGGAGGAGATAATCCCACTCTTATTCATCAAACTTCATGAACCTAGTTTATATATTATCAGAAAATAGACAACTTAGACTTAAAACCTTTTGGTACCTTAATTTTAAGTTTGAATCTCTGAATTCATTAATAGCTATTCAGGAAGAATTTTAATAGAATTTATGGCCATTACTGCCTAAAGTTGCAAATACAGAGGTTAGATCTAACATTTTACCAGTTCTAAAACACTGTGGTGCTCCATCCTATTTTCAAATTTCATTGTGTATCCTAATTTAGCTCGTAGGGCAAATTGCCACAGAATAGTCGTATCTTTAAAATGCTGTTCAGTGCTTTTTGCCTTTATGGAAAGGATTCATAACTCCACAAAAAGTCAATGCTTACTTGTTGGATGTTCCATGAAGGTTTGTCAGTACCATGAAGTTGTTTCTCACACTTCGCAAACTGGCAAGTACCTATAAAGAGAATGTTTCAAATGGTTAGGGACAAAAGGAGACAAATGGCCAGGTTCAGAGGCCACATTTAGAAACCACACCCAGGAACAGAGTGAGAGCAAGCCAGGGCCAGCACGATACATACCTGGGCAAAAGGAGTTACAATCAAGTCATCGCCATGTCTGGTTAAAAGAGAGAAAAGAAGCATTTTAAAAATGCATTTGAATTATAACTGTGACATATAAGTTGTAATATTAAACTTTGTCAATGTTAGCAACACAAATGCTATACAAGTCCTTCTACTTGGACATAAGGCAGGACTCATAATTAGGTGTAAATGAGGATCCTAAGAGCTTGAAAGAAAAAAAAATAGTACCAGGTTCATGACTCCTGGATTTATAGGGACTACAAATAAAAGCATTTGCAAGTAAGCGTATATCCTCAGGGTATATTCCATGAAATAGCAGACCCAGAGTACTGTAATTCAAAGCGATTTGTGGATTTTGTGTGCCAGAGCCAGGAAACACAAAGGGAGGGCTGCTCACAGGCACACACAGAGTTGGAAAAAATGGTATTACAGTCTGGATAAAGGTTAACTTTGGATTTCCTGGCTTTTGTTGATTTGAACCACAGCTTTAATGCCATTTAAACACAGATTTCTGTCTGGGAATCCCATTACTTTTTGTTTTTAATACAACTTTTTTCTTAAAGTACCCAAGAAAAAGCTTTTAATGGGTGTGTACAGAATGAACCTACTAGAAGGGTACCATTGTTACTCATTTTGTCCCAAAGACCTGGTTAAACTATACCCAGTAAATCTGTACTTAGGAACAGTCAAAAATGTCTTTTCAGGAGTGCATTCTCTCTGTGTCTGTCTGTCTCTCTCTCTGTCTGGCACATGCTACAGTAAATCTACTTAAGTCCGCATTCAGCAAGCTCTCCATTGAAGATATTAGAAGACATGTTGGCCCACGCTGCACAAAATAAGGCCCATTTGCTATCATGGTGTGAATCACAACAGCAGCACAGAAGTCAGCAACAGTGAGCTGCTCTCACCATCTGGCCTACCTTCTCTGCCCTCATGATTGCCATAGAAGTATGACACCTTATTCATTAACAATGTGAGTGCAACCAAAAATTATTAAGTACCTGCCCTATACCAGGCACTATGTGGTGCCTGGGGATCCAGAGTTGAATAACACATGCATACACCTGTAGCATAGGCTCTTCTCTAGCAAAGCTTTTAATGTGGGGTCTTAATCCTTTTCTTCCCACCTTTGTCTTTATCTAGAAGTCCCCCTTCAGTTTAACCTAGTGAACTTCTTGAGTGCTCACAATAAAGAGAATTCTGACCACAGTAAACATCCTTTGTGTGATTATTGTGTGTGAGGCCTGTGCTAATAAGCACTTTACATGTGCTATCCCATTTAATTCCTATAACAAGGCTGTGAGGCATGTACTTCTAATATTCCCATTTTACAGATGTCATCATGGCTCAGAGCAGTTAAGCAGCTGCTTAACTAGCACATAGCTAAGAACTGGAAGAACTGAGACTGTTTGATTCAAAAAATTTGTGCTTTTAATTACTATGCTTCCTATTTTATAACCCTGAATAGCTGACAAATCAAATTATACAGAATCCATGAACCCCCAAGTTAAAACATAGTAGGGGAAATAGGAAAATATTCAAAATGCTGTAATAAACATTGTATGTATAGAATGAGAAATACAAACAATGGATACTGAATGTGATCCAAAGGAGAGGTGACAATTACACTTTAGAGAAAATAGGAAAGGTTATTGAGTGGGTGGTGTTTGAGATGAACTTTGAAGTGCAGGCTTTAAAAAAGGCAGGAATGGTAGATACCACCAACGAGAGAAATGGCAAGAACAAAGGCTTTGAAATGCGACGATATTGAACACGCTTATGGAGATGCTTGGTGGCTGTCTGGGTAGAACCAAGCAAATTAACTACAGACGTTTGTAGAGGATAAGGCTAGAAGGCCGCCCACACCCATATTATGAGCAGTCTGGACAAAGACTATAGAGCTGGTGCTTAACTCACCGAGAAGAAATGAGTCTCTATAAGTTTTTAGTGAGATGGGAAATAGGATAGGCAAACAGAAAAGTGTTTTGGAAAGTAAAATGCTGTGGACACCGAGGATGGACTGGAGAGAGGAAATACCCAGAAAGAATAGTTAGGGGTATAATTGCAGTTATTCAGATAAGAAGGGATAGGTAAGGCCAAGAAACAAACAGGAAGAGACAAGCTAAGAGACTCCAGAGGTCTTGCCAGAACTTGGCTTCTAATTAAGTAAGGGGTCATAAAGAAATACTATTTTCAATTTTAAAAAGAGGCATCTGAGAAAATGGTGGAGTCATGAACAGAAATAAAGGAGGAGTTGGGGGAGTTTTAAGGTTCTCATTGAGTTTTTAAGGTTGAGTTTTAAGGTAGTCATTGTCATCCACACAGAGACATCAAGCAGGAAGACTGAAATATGGAAATTAGAGCTACAGATTTGGGAGTTACCTCCAATATTAGGGATAGTTAAGGCAATGACAGGGGATGGTTCCTTTGGTGGCAGTATATATATATATATATATATATATATAGGGAGCCAAAGGAAGAATGTCAGGGTACTTGGAGAGTAGCCAAAAGGAAAGACAGAGTAAAGAATTAAGAGAAGAGCAGTGATAAATGTCATATGGTGAACTGTATCAAAAACTGTCCCTTCCTAAGTTATTTTCTTTAAGTGAACTTGGAGATGGTAAAAGATGTTGCTGTTTGTTCAGATTTCTGATGTGAAGTTCGCATTGTTCATAAGACATCAGGGTGAGTTGGGGGACAAAGTAATGGGTTTAGAGTAAAGCAGATCTTCTATGTCTCCTGGATTTCCTGGCATCTAAATATCTGATGATAGCTACATGGTATAAGCAAATCTCATGCATGTGTAGTACCTAGAGCTTATGTATTGTTAAATGAATTGGGGAGTTAATAAAACTGCACATACTAATGATTAAAGGGATGTAAACAAACATTAACAGGGCACAATGTCAACAGGACTTTATCATTATGGAACTTTTGAAGTTTAGGAGAGCAGAGTATTCAGAAGCAAGAGATGGATTTGCAGATCCTCACCACTGACTCCCTTAAAAGTTTTGAGCTGCAAAAGCTAATAATGTACGTCAGATAATAGCTGCTAGAGAAATTATCAAATAACTTACAGATAATTTACAGTAAGTATCAGGAAGGCAACAAAACAAAACAAAAAAACTCCTGTTTGAGTATAGATTATTTATGTAACTAATTCTGAATTTTTTAATCATAATTTGATACATTACTAATTAAGAATAAAATGGCATGAAAGTGATGAAACACTTGATTGATCATGAAAACTGATGTACAAGGGTACTTCCAAAAGTTCGTGGACAAACAGAATTAAAAGATAACACAAATCCTTTCACGAACTTTTGGAAGCACTCTCGAATTTCTCAATTTCCCAAATCACTGGAGAAGGTAATGCCTCTCAGGAACAAGGCCAGATATTAAGAACCATTGCATGAGCAACATCTAGTGACAAAAACAGCACATTACAATTTTACAGAATAACTGAAGATGAGAACTCCGAGCACAGAATTAAGTCTAAGAATTGAGTGTAGGTCTGCCCTAAACAATGAAAGGGCTTTTTAAAAAGCAACAATGCTGCTTTTAACTGCTACACTCTGGATTTTATTATTTAATTTCACCTTTCCTCCCTACACACAGAGTTGTATTTGTACTTTTCTTGTAACTGGTTTTAGTCTATCATATAGAGAGATGCATACTATAGTGGTTAAGAGTATAGATTTTGAAGCCAAACAGCATTGGTTTGTCTCTCAGCAGCATTATTAGGCAATCTCTCTCTGTTTCAAGTTCATCTTTAAAATGAAGTTCTCTGAGAATGAAATAAGTTATTATACACGTACAACTCTTTTTTTTTGTCTTTTTCCGTGTCCGGCAACGGATCGCAACCCTCAGTGTCGCCCCTGTACCGGACCGGGACCGGCAACGGGATTGCAACCATCGGTGTTGCCCCCGCGCCTCGCTCAGCCAGTGAGCAGGAACCGGTCTGTATGTGGGATCCGAACCCTCGGGCGGGAGCGCCGCCGCACTTCCCAAGCGGCGCACTATCTAGTGCGCCACCGGGCCGGCCCACGTACAACTCTTAATAACAGTGTTTGGCACATAAAAACACTTTAGCTATTTAGTTAGTTATTTTTATTAGTGGTAGATATCTTTATAATTATAATTAAGGGGTTGCATGTCTGTCTTTCCAGCTGGTAAGAGTTTCTTTAAGATAGTCATGTCTGCCCTGCAATCAAGAGAACTCATATTTATATTGCACTTTAAAATTTACAAAGCACTTTCATATATATTACTTCATGTGATAAGAGAATGCTCCTGATTGCAGGGAATGGTGCAACCATCTATCTAGTTGGCCAAGCCTGAAACCTCCCTCTCCTTCATCCCACAATCAACCACCAACCCCTGTTGATTCTAACTTGCAAGCATTTTTTTGTGTGTGTGTGTCTTTTTCGTGACCGGTAAGGGGATTGCAACCCTTGGCTTGGCGTCATCCACACTGTGCTCAGCCAGTGAGTGCACCGGCCATTCCTATATAGGATCCGAACCCGCGGCGGGAACGTCGCTGCGCTCCCAGCGCTGCACTCTCCTGAGTGCGCCACGGGGTCGGCCCTTTGCAAACATTTTTTAATTGTCCCCTGGATCTAACTTGCAAACATTTATTAATTGCTCCCCAGATCTGCCCTAATGTAGATCCCTATCCTCTATTGTGTGGATTACTAAAGCAGCTTCCCATTTGGCTCTTGGGTTCTAGTCCTTAAGCTTGTCCACTCTCCAAACCATCCTTCATACTACAATCAGAGCTATCTTTCAAAAACATACTTTTAATAATGTAATCTCCTATTGAAAAGCCTTTAGTAGCTCCCCACCGCTTGCCTGCAGCATAAAGGCCAGCTCCTTAGCATAGGCCTTTCATGATGTGGTTCCTGCTTAACTCTCCAGCCTCTTCTTTTACCACTTCCTCAGCCCTGCACATTCTCTGTCTAAGCCATACAGAGCTGTGGTTCCCACAACTAGAGAGTTAGTTAGCACATGGCCTTTCCTCCTGCAAATCCTTCTGCTTGCTCCTCTAGCCTAACTCCTCCAGCTAAGCTGTAACCTCCTCAAAGGTACTTGCCTGACTGGACAGACCTTTCAAATCCTGTGCATACTCTCTACAGTTGTCCTTATCTGAAGGTTTTAAAACTGCGTATAGATTTACTAACCTTTTTAGATTTGTTAAAGACACAGAAACTGTCTTATTTGTTAGCAAAGTGCCCAAATTTAAGTAAATATTAAAAGAATGAATATGACCCTAGAAACAGCTGGAAAGGTAGACAGAGCGGCAATTAAGACTGTTATTTTTATTTTTCAACCTTATTTAGCATCTGTTTATATACTGAATATCCATATAGTTTAGCCACCTAGACCCCTTGGGTACAACGCTCGGTTACCATTTATTGGGCACATTACTTAACCTCTCTGTGCCCCAATGTCCTCATCTTTAAAATGAGAAAATTATAGTACTTACCACATTGGGGACATGGAGAATAAATGAATATATGTGAAGTACTTTAAATAGTACATAGCACAGAGGAAATGCTCAATAAAGGTGTGCTTCTATTTACAGATAATCTAGAGACTATAAAAGAAATTCAATGTCTTAAAAGCCACAGTGCTCGTGAGTGTGGTGGCTGTAAGTCTAACTCAAGTCTTAGAAACCACATTGTACTTTCTTGGTAGTCCATCAATAAACAGGTCTTAAATTTAAGCAGGCTTTTATTTGAGCGTTTCTTTTTAGTTCTGAGGTCTCATTTGCCTTGACAGTTCTCTCTAGAGACCACTTAGCTTTCATGTAAGTGACAGCTTTTAAAAGGTCCTTGTCTATGTAAGAGTTTCCAAATGGGGTGACCAAATTAAAAAAAAACATGGAATATCCTTCTCTGTGGCTTTGCAGGTGGAAAATCAGAACTCCATCCTGTCCAGGATAGTTCCTGCCATAGTTTTGGGCAATAAAACTGGCCTCATCAGTTCCAAGTACTTTATGTTCCCATTGGGAAATCTGTACCTCAGTATTGAAGGCATTACGTTAGGCATGACTGCAACACAGGAACTGAGCAAAAACAGATTATTGCCACATCTAAGAAATTTCCTTTTGGGACCCAATGGTGATCTTGTTTTAATTTACTAGAAAGCCTTATTTCTATCTTTCCTTTGTTGCTAAGAGTTTGTTGCCAAAAGTTAACTTTCAATTTTCTATTCACACTTTTACTCTTAATGTCTTTTCACTCACTCTCCCCACCAATAATTTCCTTTTGCTCGCCTGAAAGTGTTCAGATGAGAAATTTTTAAAAGACAGTATTTCCTCTATCGCTAGGATTTAATACAGTGGAATCATGCAAAGTTTTCTACCTTTCATATAAATTCATGACTGCTCTGTGCTGGATATGAGAAGCTCCTGAGTGGGGAACATCCTGCAGCCCCCACCCAATGGCTTTCACATCAAGACTCCTGGCTGATCATCATTCCCTTCATCTGGATCTATGAGCAGGAGGCAAGAGAAGCAGTGGGAAGCTTGGGGGCTGCCATTCCTGTATTTATTTCAATTGATCGTGAAGAGTAATAATCAGGTAAAATATCTTGAAGAGCATTACTTCAGTTTAGATCAAGATGCCTGTGTAAAACTGGGTTTCCAACATGGTCCTGATACAATGAAATACCGGAATAACCTAGATATTATACAAATTCTACTTCTGGTTGTATTGAGAAACACAAATTCCTAAACTGACAACTACATAAAAGTTTTAATGGTAATGTTGAAATACTTGCAAAACAAAACCTTGTGCTATTTTTATTCATGCAAAGATTTTAATTCTGTTATCAGTATTTTTGATAGGGTGTTATTATGTTGCCAACTGTTGTTTTCTTGGGAAAGGCTGTTCCGTGTTATAAAACTGTTGCCTTCCTGATTTTTTTAAAAGCCCTTATCTTTTAAAAGTGAGAGTAATATTAGATAATTTACATATATCATCCTTACTTGCCAAAATTTAACGTTGGCAAGGTTCTAACGTTAGGTGGGAATTTTTACTGGTTGGTAAAATTGAAAAAAGGGAAAACCACTACTAACAGGGACACTGCATACAGAGTCATGCAGAACTATATCTCTGTTTCAGTAGCTATAAACTGAATTGGACCGTGATCTTTAAGGTCTCTTCAAGTTCAAAATTTCCATAATCTTTTGATTCTAAGTAAGGGAACATCAGTTTAATCTGAAATTTGGAGTCTTCTGGGAAGGCTCTGAACAACTCCGAGACTCTTCATGCTGTTTGGCATGAGTTTGGGGGAACTATTAGCTGGCAAATTAGCTAGTTTCCAAAGCTAGTCTTTCACCTGTAAAATACTACGTGAATAAAGCTCTAATTACTTTGAGCTTACCACATCTCCAGTGCTCTCCCCACAATGAAGTCTAGAAAGATTTTTATCTTGGTGGAGCAGAGAATTCCTAGCATATTCGCTGTAAAAGCCCCCCATCCAAACCTTAGTCAGAAACTATCTTGGCTCTGCATGAGCTACAGCAAACTGGCTCTCTCTCCTCCAGCCTCAGGTACCTCTACGCTGCATTCATCTGTTTTCTACCTTGTAGTAGTCATGCTATTTTGCAGTCCAAAAAACATGGGTGAAAAGAGTCCAAAAGTTTTGAGTATGGTCATCCTTAGCTTACACCATAGGATATAACATGAAATATAGTCATGGGATAGGGGCAAGTTTTTCAATCTCTCAGAGTCCCCGTTTCATCATTTATAGAGTAGGGGTAACAATGGTATCTACCTGACAGGATTGCTGTGAAGATTAACAGAGACAACACATGGAAATGAACTTGGCCCCACGATAAGTGCTCATTACATGTTAGTTTCCTTTCTCTCTGTAGAGTTAAGTGTGCATTTGTGTGTTCCTCTTACCTTTCTTATTTAATTGTAAACTCCCTGAGAGCATACAAACATTTTGAAAATGAGATCTGTTTTTGACACATTTGTGATTTTTTTCAGTTTTGTTTATCTTTTATCCCCAGAGCTTGGCATGCTGCATGGCACATAGAAGAGATTCAGTATGTAAGACAATTTGCCAAATGAGTAAAAAAAAAACATTTTGGCCTACACAAGTGATAGAGATATTTTAGGGCAAGAGTGCTTCTATTAAAATTTGCTGGCAAAAATGCTTTGAAGAATATTTTCTTGCTAATAACTTTAAAATGCCCCAACCCCTTTTCACAAGAGATTGAACCTTTTTGGCTTCCTTTCTAATAGTGGAAGAGAACCCAGTGGAATTTTCCAGGCTGGAGACCTTAGGGAGCTACTGATATTTTTATAACATATGATGTTAAAAACAATTGTATGTGTGCCCAGAAATCTTTTAAGGCAAGAATTCCAGAATTCAATTTTATTTGCTTTCATAAATTTAATAAACAGGCAACACAAACCAGTTGTTGTCCTTTAAATAAAAATTAGAAATCTACAATTGATAGCAGCAAAACAAAAATATCAGCTGTGCTTAATAGGGCAGTGGAGTGTGTTATGTCTCACCGAGGAGCCAGGCAACAAGTGGGCATTGTACTAAGGTTCCAGAAAAGTGATACAGGCATGTGGCTGGATGACAGCTTATTAAATGTCACCAAACAAAGGCCACTGACAAAGGATGCATGTAACTAACCCCCATTTCTCTTCTCTGCTGGAGGCTCATGCAAACTGCCCTTGCAACTGAAAATTCAAGTGTGATTTGCAAGCAGTGTTAAGGTTCTCATTCCATAAATGATTCAGCAGTTCAGGAAATGAAGCTAAATGAAAAATTTTAAAAAGTATCAAAAACAACTTTGAACTGAACTCTGCCTGAGGTTTTTAACATCCTTGGAGACCCCAACTACATATATTCCTCATCCTGTAGACCATGAATGTCCTTAAGATGGTCATCATTGTCACTTCTGCTCATGTTCATTTTTTTCCTTCTTCCTTCCCATGGGTTAAAGGAGAAGAGTTGTTGCTACTGCTGTAACGGGGTTAAAGATGAGGTAAGCGTGAGACTGGAAGCCAAAAGCTTGTACTTACTGCTCGCTTGGAAGTGAAGAATTTCTCGACATCGCCTTTGGTGACAGGTCATAGTCGCTGTCTGATCTGTAGAGAAAGGACTCTCTGCGCTGGCTATGCCCGGGAAAGGTGGCGTGAAGCACCAGCCCAGAGGAAGAGCTTGCCTGGGGGTCCAGTGGGCTCCGACCTGGGGAAGGGCCATTTTCCACATCAAAGCTTAAAGAGAAAGCAGGAAGCTCTGGTCACATGGGAACCATAGAGGAAGGCATTTAACATACTTTGAGAACTGATGTGAGGCAGGTACTGTGTACCAGGCACTTTACACAAGACTTTACACTTTGTGGAAAGTTTTAATTCCCAAATCAGCTCTGAGTTTCAGACATGATTATTCCCATTTTGTATATAGGAAACTGAGTCTCACAGAAGTTCAGTCATTTACCTGAGTCCACCATTAGCAAATAGCAGGGTAAGAATTTGAACTCAGGAGCAAACTCTATGGCCTTTCAGTGGCATGGGCAGCTCTGATAAATTCAGAATAAGAGCCACACATAAAATAATTGGGTGATAATAAGCAACTCTAGAGATGACATCTAGCACAGCTCTAGGTGGCAGACACCGAACTATCTCTTGAAAGAGTCTTCCTAGCTGAAGACTTCTTCCAGCCATAAATAAATATCACAGTCTTATTAAAGGTACAATATGCATACTTCTAAATGTTTTAGGAACAAAGTGTTATCCTGAAAACATCCACTGGCTGATTAGATGGGAGGCCCAGCCTGAGATTTAATATTCAAATGCAAGTTTAACCACAAAAATGACTTAATTAATCTGACAACACCAAATTACTCTCCAAGGCTGTAGAGCTTTGTCTCTGAAGGAGGAAGAGGAGACACTCACTGGCTCCCACAGAGCAGTGCCATTGAGACTTCTGATCAGTGCCCCTCACCCTGGGAAGCTGCCCTCAAGCCCAGAATTATTTAAACAAGCTCTGACCAATGAGCACACAGATGGGAGCAGTGGAGATTTTATCTCTTGTTTTCCCTCTCTTCATCTTGGTATTACCTTAGGCACTGTGCCCTTCTCACACTCCCTTTTATCATTCCATACCCATTTTTCCTGCACACACAATCCCCTTAGCCTCAAATTTACAGTAACACTCTTCCCTAGTATTTCCCGAGAACACTCACTGCTCCCCAGCTCAAGCTTTGCGGAGAGATGTTGTGAAAAGGGGATGGGGCTGGGGATGCTCTCTTTTCTAAGTTAGACTACAGCAGTGGAATTCTTTTATATACTCATCCAGCTGCCATAATCTACTTCTACAGTCTTGGTTCTTTTCTTTCACTAGTTCTTACAACCTGATCTCTTTGGGTGGATACTGCTTATATTTCTTCAATTTACAAAGTGTTTTTTTTGATATATATTATTCCATATACTCCTAACAACCCTGTGAAGTACATAATATGATCCTATTCTACATTTGAGGCAAATGAGGTTTAGAGAGATGTAAATACCTTAGTCAAAGTCATAGACTAGGAACTTGTGATGTGAAAATTTGAAGACCCAAGTGTTCCAACTCATTTCCTTACAACCTCAGACTTCCCTAATCACAGAGTTCCAGAATGTCCCACTGGATAACTGAGTGCAATTTCTCTTCAGTCTCTGGATTCAAACAAAAGGCTTTGTTGATATCTAAACAGTCAGTCAGATTATGAGTAGCCTTAGCTGTTACCTTAAATGAAGACAGGGGAAGCAGTGAATTACCCTGAAGCTGAAGGTTTCCTTAAAACAAGAAAAGGAGAAATGATGGAATGTAGGGTTATAATGCTTCCCCAGAGACCATTCTGAGAAGCTGCTTTTACACAATCCACGAACTACAGGTGTCTGATAAACAGCAGCAAGTAAAAATCTCTGGGTAAAAGGACAAGAAAAAGGGCCATAATGATCCAATTTGTGTTTGGGCTTTCAAGGTACCACAGATGGGTTTTCTCAGCGGGCTCATGGTTTGGGATGGGGCTACCTTTCGAAGACTGCAGGCAGGCAGGAGGGTGGGCAATTATCACACATAACCAGCCTGTTTGCCATTTCCCCAGAGGTAGAGCTATACTGGAAGCCACATATGTTGCAGCAAGTGAAAATATAATAAAGCTGACTTGCAAACTCCCTAGGGTGAGATCTGTACTAGTCGTAGAACAAAATTAAGAGCTCCTTTGTCAATAAGGGCTGTCTTGTGCCAGCCCAATCCTGTAGAAACGTAGGTACTGACGCTGGCTCTGAGCCCTTCTTAAGGACAAAGAGGGAAGGTTCTAAGAAGGTGATAGTGGGGTTACAAACAGCTTAACAGTGGGCACTAGCTTTGAAATTTCAAGCATATTCATGTATTATTCATCTGGTGTGTATCTGTACAGCCTTTCTGAATATTAAAACATCAAAATTTCTTTTTTAACAGTTGTCCTCCAGCTGCTGTCCCAGGCCCTCCAGGATCTGGAATTTCTGATGATTCAGTAACTAAAGGGCTGATGTCTAGAACAGCAGGGGGTCTCTAGCTCCAGCACTGGGGTCTGTGCTCATGCAGTACCATTCATTAAATATGAATATTACTGCTGTGTGTATGTGTGCTAAAATCTTAGAAGAGGTGCCAAGTGGGTATGCCCACCAAGCTCCCAGAACTTTTTCCACTGAGGGTTTCCACCAGAGCTCACTCTGCCCACTTTTCTGCTAGAGGCATTCCTAGTGGGCAGAGGTTAAGTCCAGAAAGCATTACCCTTAAAGTGAGAGTCATAGGGGATTCTGTCTGTCGCTAGTTTAATATTCAGGAAGTTCATTCCTGCCAAATAAGCCGGAATTTTTGTCAGACACCAAAATTCTCTCCATGTCTCTCCTCTTTGGTTTTATTTTCTTTCTTCATTACCCTGCCTAAACTCATAGGAGAGCTTGCTGGAATTTAGCAGAAGCCAGGGAAGAAGTCTCTGGTGCAAAGCAGCAGTCTTAGTGAGACAAATGGCCATTCATATTCCCTGGGGCACTGTTTCAAAGCAACCAACACAGATGTACAACTTTGGAACAAACATGAATCACCAACCAGACACCAGCCCCAGTCACAGCAAAATTAGCGGGCAGACATCACAATACTTCCCACAGATCCAGGGAGCAAGTAGGGGTGTGGGCAAGGGGAAGACTGAGGACAGACTTAACAAGCAAAATGAATATGCCACACAAACTGCAATACAATTAGGAAGAAAACTCAATCTCAAATAGCAGAAACAAACACATAAATAGGGTCATTATTTACTTAGGGTAATTTTTGCCATTTCACCTTTAGGCTTTTTTATATTTAAAAAATCATTATAAAAGTAATATAAGAATGTTATATAAAACATGGACAATAGAGAAAAGAACAGCACCATTGCTAGCAGTTCAGTATTTTTCCTTCTGAGTATTTTTTTCCTGCAGGTTTGAATCTTGATTTTTTTCACAAGTATTTATCATGTACTACAGTTCCCAAAATTATCATTTTAATGATAATGGTTCATTCAGTAGCTCTACCACAATTTTCTTAAGCATTTTCCCTACTCTTGTTCATCATATTTATGATTCTAAATAACATTGCAGTTGATATTTTTGAGCTTATTGCTACTTCAACATTTAGATGAGGTCATGCAGAAGGTTCAGATAGATTAAAAGAGGATGTTAATCACAAGTTTATGAATATTTGATTGTGTCTTATACCTGCCTGGAAGAGGCCCATATCTAACATATGGACTGAAACAGCACTGAAAGTGGCCTTTTTTCTAGGATCAGTTTCTTTGCAGTCCTGCTCTCTGATCTCTAGGATTCTTAATGCTGCCTTCTCACTTGGCTCTGCCTGCTGCTCCCTGCCTTTGCTGGTCTTCCTGGACTGAACCACTTGTTTGTTGTCTAAGACCTAATGTTTTAATAACTTTTTCCTGCTTTGTGTCTAGAGTTCTCATCTCTTCGAGGCAGCTGCGGTGGCAGGAGGCGATGCTGTGTGTGAGAAGTGGTGCCCCTGTGATTGTGCCTGGAATGCCCTTCCCCCCACTGTCTTCAATAAGCCACTGTCTCAACAATTCACCTCCTCCAAGAAGTTCTCTCTGACACTGCCACCCCAGCTCGATTTAAACACATGCTCCTCCTCTGTGCTCCCCTAGACCCTTCTACCATAGTGCTTTATCACAGTGCTTGTACCTCTCTACTTAATTCCTGTTCGTTTAGTTGTTCCCCAATAGATTGTTATTTCCAAGAGAGAAGGGACTCTCAATTAGTCATTTTTGTATCCTAGTCATCCATCTGGGTCAGAGCCTTATAAGAGGTCTTCAAAAACTGTCAACTAAACACAGCATCTTACTGTGAAATGCTTTTCCTCTCCCTTCCATCTTTCTGACTCTCTACCCTCACCCCAATTCCCACTGGCATGGGGTTCTGTTTTCTTCAAATGAATCTATAGAGATGTGGCATTAATATATTTGGTCAACCTTGTGAGGCAATGATCTAAAAATAAAATAAAAATTTTTAAAAAAACACTGCTGTGTTCCCTCTAAGCAAAACAAACTTGCATAGAAATATCACTGGCTTGGATGTTTGTGATGGTCACATCTTTACAAAAACCCCCACGAAAGGAAAAGCCATCTTGTACCAGCTTCTGTTTGCCATCTTCTTGTGTCTTTGCTTTTTAGTAAAAGCAGGAACCTTCTCTGCCCTGCACTTTCTCTCCTGGTGGTTTCCATTCCTTAGGAATCCTTGCAAAGCCAGCCCTGAGCTGGTGACAGAGGAAGCCGGCAGATGGCAGAAGACTGCTACGGCTTCCTCAGGCTGCCCTTCCAGCCTCCCATCAAGCAGGTAGGGCTGCTTGTCAGTCTCAGAGGAGAAAAAGGACTGAAGCCTTATTCATAGCCTGGGAGGAAAAATCAGGGATAAAGAACAGAACCACAAGGTGTACATAAAACCTTTGATTTAACTAAAAGAAGCTCTACTTCCAAGAATTCAAGCTAGGCCAGGTGGTCGCAGAATTGCCTGCAATTGTCCCCAGGGTGGTTGTTTCCAATCTCCAATTAACCTGAACAAACCCCAATTTCTGTAACACAGACTCACAAAGCAATTTCCTAGGAATAATTCATCTCTGAACCAGAGGAGATTTTCTTTTTCAACTCAGTCATTCTCGAGGTGAGCCTCTTTGGCTTATTCTAACAAATAGCTGCACT